CTTTCTCCGGCAAGACAACTGATAAACGAACTGAACGAGTTTACATCTTCTCAAGATGCATTAAGACTGCTTCTTGAGCTTGAAAGGGCTCTTCCGCTGGAAGAGGCAGATGAAAATGAATTAGTCTTACGAACTCTTTGGGAGCATGTTCACCAGTGCYAAGATGCGTCAGTTAAAATGAAGTTAATTTCATTGTTGTCCAAGGTAGCAKGACATCCTGGAATCAACCCATTGTCTGTGGTGGAAGAGATGATAAAATTACTGYCTAAAGAGAGTAAGTCAGAAGGACTATGAAAGCGTTATGTTTTCAAAAATACTAGTTAGTCGGTGCAATCATACTAAGGGTGTATGTAATTTTGTGGTCATAAGTGGGTATATATGATTTGATATCCATGGATCCTACTGATCCCCTCTCCTTTTTTTATATTTATTTTACCACGTTCCTTTATTTGCCATTAACTTCTTTTCTTTCTTGTTGTTTCAGCTTCACATAAAGTCTGTGCACAAATTATTAATTCTCTGATGCTCCTTGGAACACTMTCTTCACATGAAGTAAGAATTTGAATATTCATAAATGACTTATTGTGTCYAATTATTATAGTAGTGATAATTTATAATTTGTAAAACATAGATTGTAAATTTGAGATTGATTTATGATTTGATTGATTGATCATTGATTGATGGATTTCTAGGTATARTGATTTTCTGATTGTCATCTTTTCTATTTTACACAGAGAAAACTCATACAAAATTTGGTTAATATTGCTGTTGAACACCTCAAAGATTCCCACTATGCAGTMCGAAGACAGTGCCTTAAGCTGATTGGTCACTTGGGTTTATCAACCAATCCAGTAGCAGTTAGTGYTGATATACAAAGTCTTATCATCAGTTATGCTAAAGATAGTGATCCAAGAGTGAGAACAAGTGCATTGGAAGCCTTGGTGAGTTCTACTTATTCACAAACTCATGAAAATATATTGGAGCAATATCTATTAACTACCACACATTTGTTTCTATTTAATGCAGACTCACTGGTGAAYTATGAGTACAAAAAAATCTCACTATTTTCACTCTAATTATATGAATTATTAACAATTAATTTATAAATGAGCTGTAAAGTTTTTTTTTATTTRATTTCCCAAGCTTAATCTTCATGAAAGAGGACAGATATTAGATGTCCACCTGTATGAGCAAGCTTCAGAGACTTTGGATGATGACTATGAAGACGTTCGTATGGCMGCTGTAAAGCTGATATGGGTATTTAGTCACATCTGTCCAGAAAGGTAYGTCTTTTTRTTACTTAGCTTCTCTTTGCATTGAAGTTGTACTGCCTTAGTACTTTTATGGATTATTTACAGAAATGAAATACTCTCACTAAAAATATGATATTGTAGGACTGTCAAYCTACCCACATCAGATGAGGTCAGGTTAGTGGACGATGCTTTTATCAAGATCTGTAACATGATGAATGATTTGTCAATGAGAGTTCGTGCAGAAGCTGTTGGATTGTTGGGATCCCTGCATCATGTTAGCCCGAGATTCCTGGAACAGACTCTGGACAAAAAGGTCATGAGTCATCTTAAGGTATGCAAATGGAGTGGCTTTTTGATGAGGCCACGCATGTGTTTGTGATTGTAATGGAAGTGCATACTAATGTAATCTCAATGTTAAAACTATGAAATGCCATCACTATTCTCTACAACCTGTGAGCAGAGGAGAAGTCTTGTGTTACTGGTCTTTAAAATGTTCGATACCTTGCTCCATTTATCTGTTTTGTATTATTTTTGTGTAGAGGAAAAAAACTGACCATGAAAAGAAAAAAGAGCAGTTTGCTTCTGGTCAATCATCAGTTATTTCCTGGACAACAGGCCGAAAATGGGATGAAAAGAAATCAGCTGAGGAAGAATTGGCACCAGAAGAGGTTAATCTAATGAGTAGTGGTGCATGTGGTGCCTTTGTRCATGGTTTAGAGGATGAATACCTTGAAGTACGKATGCCTGCACTGGACTCATTGTGTGAACTAGCCAATCAGAACCCACGTTTTGCCCATTTGTGCRTGGACTTCCTGGTCGATATGTTAAACGATGAGATTGAAAGCGTACGTCTTAATGCCATTAACAGTCTYCGTAAAGTGTGCCATCATATCACACTGAGAGAAGACCAACTTGAGGTGGTGCTAGGAGTTCTTGAAGACTTCTCATGGGAGATACGTGAAGAAGTTCGTGAGTTAATTTCACACTGCCATCTTTCCACCAGGGCCTGTCTTCATGCCACTATCATCGCTTTATTGGGTAACCTTACCAAATACCCACAAGACAGAGCTTCTATCTGGAGGTAACTATTGAGGGATGGGAGGGTAGGGCATGTGGTGTGGTTCTCTAAATCTACAATCTTTGTTACAGATGCGCAAAGTTCTTGGGTGAGAAGCATAAACACCTTGCTACTTCACTAGTTCCTGTTCTTCTATCAACTCATCCATTCTTTGCGACACCTGAGCCCTCGGTGGATGATCCTGCWTATGTTACCATGGTGATTCTAGTGTTTAATGCTGCTGTCGACTGTCCAACAATGTTGCCYATGTTTCCTTGTCATACACGACGTCACTACTCTTATCTTAGAGACAGCCAACCATATTTGGTGCCATACCTACCAATTGACCGGGAATCAATGGCATCGTGTTCTACTGATGACCAACATGGTGAGTTACTGTGTCACGATTACATTGTGCGACCCAACGTGGTTTAACATGTCACGGGAATGTATTTATTTGCACTTAACATTAACTTCTATATACACCTATTTCAAAAAWGTTTGCCGAGGAGAACGGCGATCGTCGAAGAGAGAATGCACGACAGAAAGGGAGTATGGTTCATCAATTAGCAAAACCTATGGCTACGTTCAGTCGTGCAATTGCCGTTGACAAATGACATTCGCCATCATATCCGACAACCTTTTTGGAAATAGGTATATATATCACTATATTCTCTTTATTACAGGACTACCTGGGACCTCATTCATGGAGGGTATTCTMGCCCGTATCCGATCYTTGCCCACAATGACCACACCTAACGCGCAAAGCCTTCTGGTTGCTACCATACGCGATTTGAATCACACTAAAGGAATTAACAAAAAGTTTGTTGCCAATGCACGTTGTATGGCACTGTACTTGCAGTGTCACTTAGCAACCCTTCAAGCTCAAAGTAATAAGTTATGGTCCCTCCCAGGTCCTCTCTGCGCGACTCAGGGGACTGGGCTCAAGTCTTTGGTGGAAAAGATATTGATGATGTCATATCAACTTGAATACACCTTCCAAGGACTWAGTGCCTGTCAYGTGTTYTCTCTWCATGAACTTCGTATCATAGCTCACTCGCTCCAAATCCTCGCAACCCAGAGATGTGATACGAGCACTGAGAAGAACCTGGGTTCTACTTTGCTTGTGTGGCAGTCATTTCTCGCCCGTGTAAAGCACTACTCGACTGTTCTTGGGACTAGTGGGACCAAACTCGATGCTTTTAGTGAAGCCCTGGTCTCTTTTCAGGATTTTTTTGAAGCAAATATTACCAAACCTTCGTTTATCGCTGATCATCTTCAGTCGATTGTGCTCCAAAGGACGATAAGTCCATTAGATCTTACAACACACCTCAAGGAATCGTCAGCTACCTTAACAGAACCTCAGGGTGGCTCGGAGAACCCATTATCATTCACCGCCGGTCTGACGCTCGGGATAAACGTAGACGCAACGCTGGAAAATATTGCTAATCCTTCGTGTGTCCGCGTACAGGTTAGCATTTTTAGTTATTATCGTTATTATCACGGTTTTGATGTGTTTTAAAACGAACGGCTTCATATTGATATATTGATTGGAAGCAAATTCAMCATTGTCAGCAATCTCATTTAGTTAACACATTTGCTAAGTACGTTCCTGACCAATTCAATTGTCGTGGTAGTAAGATTCTTGTGGATCAATCACTGCTGAATTCAAAGAGAGATAAAATCCCTTTTGTTTAAAAAAATATTCAATATTTCCATTCAAATTTTGATGATAAAATGTTGTCGTTTTGTAGGTCGTGTTTCCAGACATGCGTCGTCAGCTTTTCACTCCCAAACAAGATGACTTTCATCGACTTAGTAGTTTACGTCACAGGCTGGTCAGTAAAGTTGTCATCTCACACGGTGGATGGTCCGGTGAGTCAGACACAAAACGTTATCTTCCACACACTTGTTTTTGAGCAAATTTAAGACGGAATACAAGATTTTATTGAAAACCCTTGAAGATCCGTTAATGCAATCCAAAATGATGCACAAAACAGTGGGCTCTAGCTGCTAAGAGAGGATTTTTTTGGTTTTCAATTCAGATAAACTTGCCTTGTCGTCAATTGCAGCGGTAGTTTCCGTATAATAATCAGAGCTTGTTCAAATTTACCTCGACAATGAATCTTTTCCGTTTGACCACGCCCACCGCGGCGGAATGTYCTGTCATTGATTGACGTGGAGCGTTTGTCTAGAGCAGAGCAGTTCCGGTTCCTACAGATATCACCGATGGTGACTATTACGTGGGCGCGCAGCGATACTTATGTTTTTTTCATGGTATAAAATCATATACATGTTCATGGATATTATTTACTTTTCTTTCGTAGAATCGTGCTACATTGAAGTTTCTATTGTTCTTAAATACCAAGCTGACGTTGATGAACAAAGTGTTATGCAACTAGGATCCAGTGATACCATGAGTGGGGAAGGTGGAACTTTACGTCAGGTGAAAAACTGTACCGATAGCCTACAAGAAGGTGTCGTAGGACTTTGTCCACCGGTTAGACTTTGTATTTTACCAAAGCCAGTCAAGTAAAACAGGCAACAAAAGGATTTGATATTTTGGTCTGTGTATCTGTACCCGGACTTAACGATTGGTGGACTGTGCTTTGTCTTAGGGGAGGGGAGGGACGGTCACAACGGAGTAACTTTTAATCAGTACTTGTCTAAGTATGTACTTACTAACAATGTATATTGCAGACTCAAAATGTAGAAAATGTAAATAAATTATGTGAATTTGATTGAGAGATTGAGACGGTTAAACAATTGACACAGGAAGCCCGGTAAAGAGGGAAGACTCCGGAGTTACAGCACAACAAACTCTGAGGAGTTCTACGTTTTTCGTTGTTTGAGGAATCTTTTCGAGTGTGAATCGTGTTCACACCAAATTCTATCGCGGTCGTAACAGTTTCGCGCTGAAAGTCGAAAATATCAGAAAATATTTTCACAAATTGAACTGAACTGTGCAAGCTTTTTAATTAGAGTGCCTGGCAATCTGTATTTACGAAGTGTATGAAAGAGTTGTCTAACGTCTAAGATGGATTTAAAATAGCTAGAGTCACGGGGGTGGAGATGTGGTGCCCCATCTAGCTTTCTAGGTYGAGTTTTACTTTATTTGTTTGTTCTAAACAATCTAGTACTTGCTACAAACTCAAAACAAGTCACAGGACAAAGGGGTATTTTTATAGATTGATAAAAACAGAGCACACTGTAAAGTTTTTTTTAACAATGACTAAGAGGTAGAAAATCGAAGAAGACACATACATGGCGTCCGTAATTCGACTATATGTAGGATAGTTTACGCCTCTCCAAGAAACGGTGATTTTTTTCCTGTTCAACGGGTGTTTAGTTATTGTTTTATTGCTAAAGAATTCATTGGMTTTTTTTCGACCAATAGCATCAAACCTTTTGAATACTAGCGTTGAATTATTGATGATATTTAATTTCGAAAACAGGTCGATCGTTCGCTTGATACACTGGGGAAGCAAAAGTCAAAAATTTGCTTACTGGAATTTTGTGGAGGTTTTTATAGATATTTTTCATAGTTCCCTTTTCTTTACAAAAAGAAAATGAGACTTTGACCGTTTGTTGGATTATTCTAGTCTTTGGAAGAAGTATTTTTAACTTGGTTGGGATTACATCACACAACATGGATTTCGGATTTTGGTCGAACTTCAGACGAATTTTATTRCTGGCATTCACCGTTCTTCAGATGATTGACCCTACACATGGTAAGTTTTGTTCCCAGTTTCTAATGTTTCATTTCGCAAACGTTCATTAGCATTTTTACAAAATAATTATCAATCTAAAATTGAAAACTCGTCATCATCTATAAAGATCACATAAAAATATGGCATAATTTTGTTTTCATCTGATTTGTGYTATTGGATTATTCTTATTAATTTGATTATTTTTAAGTAATTTTAAGGGAACACTTGTTATTGTTGAAGTTTATTAGCCATAATTGTTTTTGGACAACTGATTACAACAAATGTCGTCAGTCACGTGAGACGATATCCGAACTTTGTCGAAAGGGCAACAATTTTTTGCCCAAGCAATCCCCAGTAACTGGTTGTGTTTTGTTAGCTCCAGCTTGCTCCATTTAAGAAAAAAATCCAAATTTTAACATTACATACTTATTGCTGTGATTGCTCACTATAATCATTGTTGCCATCATGTCTTTTTTAAGCCAGAGTTTATACTTTTATATTGTTTYTGAGAATGTAAATTTGCTGAATATTGACATTTTTTGTTTGTTGCTTTATCAGGTGAATTCGAAAGTTTTGTAGATCTTATCAGAGGTGAGAAGCACTATTGATGTAACATTGGACCATTGAATAGAAATGGCATCAAATGAAATACTGACAGATAGCAATGAAGTGTTCTGATTTCTGTGTCTATTAAAGATAACACTAATACTATCAATGTTACACTAGCTACCCCAAAATGTCTTTCATTTAACAATTTAGTAATTTGTTTCGTTTGTATAAAACGTTCAACTGGAGTGATGAAAGGGCTGCTTGWAATAGTCTTGTTCTTGCATCATGTGACCATTTCTAGCCAATCATTTCACTCTAAAGTGGTCATATGGTGCAGAAAAACACCCCTCCCCTCTCTCCCACTCTAATGACGGTGAATGTTTCAACAGGTATGACCTCGATAACATCGGGTTTATGCCCCTTTTCACACTTGTTGACAACAAGAGTGCGTCTCAAAATTTTCCAAGATTTTGACATTTTCATTTATTTTCAGTACCTCGATCCGGGCCACCACTGGCTAAAAATCAAAACCCCGTATGTCGTAAAGCGCAGATGCTCCACAGTGACGTATTAAAGAATGCATCTTTGGAYGGAAGGCTTAACGCCGGTAACTTTACATTTCTTGGTGACGTGAACAACATGGAACAATGTATGGGAATGTGTTGCTCCAATAAGAAATGTCAGCTGGCTTATCTRGATAAGAACAAATGRTATGGAGTCAAGTGTTTCAGTGAAAAATCCTGTAAAGTTACAGCTGGAATTGGCACAGAAGATGTGAAAATATCTCTAATGGTKAAGAATGATATCAATAGAAAAGGTAGGACAAGAGACGTTTTTGCAGCCATCTTAATTTGTGTTATGAGATGTTGAGAAGCTAGCTGTATGAACACATATATTTATATGTTGTATCGCTTAAAAAAACTGATAATGAATAGAGGATTAATCCGTAACGGAAAGTATCAAGGGAATGGGTAAATCAACAATTAGGTCTGACAGGATAGATTAGTCTAGAAAATAGATYCAATAAAATTTGACTGGGAAAAGCGAACAGTTTCAAATATTCGTTCTTGAATTTGTGTTTAAAAGATATAATGCAAGATTGTTTGGTCAGTAATGTGTTTTGTTTAATTTTAGCGTATGTCACGGCTTATATTGTGGTAGTTCTCGTTGCTTTCGGCGCTGCTATTAGTGGGACAGTCTGGGCCGTGTTTATCTTTGTAAAAAGGTTGGTACTGTACAAGATAAACTGATCGATTRATCAACACTTTTCATCTCTTGATAGCCTTTTTATATTATATACACTCTCTTATTTATTTATTCCTCGATTAATTTATTGGTTGTTCTAGTYTTTTTAATAGTTTTTTCCTCATTTTGTTAAGATATCGCGTAACTAATGGCAAATCAGAAAATTTAACCAACGAAGAAGAGGAAGAGAAAGCTCAGGTAAAATGAGGATTTATTCATCATATTTAAGATTTAGGGTTTATTTATCTGATCGCAGATATCCGTTTCCCGCCATTTTCATTGCGCGCGCGATATTCAGAAGCCAAACTTGATAACTAAAATCTTTTCCTTTTTATTTCAGGTTTACTAAATTGAATTCATAACAGAAAGGCGGAAAAACAGGGTATCTCCTCAAAAGACACTATAATGCCGGGTTTCAAATAGGATTTCATCACTGAAATAAAAAAAAAACCCTGACCTTAATGTAATTCGGCAAAAGTGTTGTACTTCTTTTCAGAAGACACTTTTTGCTAAGGTAGAATTTCTCTCAATGCAGCTGAATGCATGTCATATAATTACATTTAAACACTTCTTTCCAAAGTATAGCTTTTTATACGCCATATTGTGTAGTGAAGAACGTTGTCTTATAAAAGTAAAATATATATGAATCMATATTATGTCAATCGTGGCAGACTACAAATGATTTCAGCTGAAGGATTTAGAGGYAGGAATGACACACGTTAAAGTTACATATCMGGCAGCGATTATAAAACACGAAATTTTCAGTTTTAATAGGTTGCAACAGTTGAATTCTGTACTTCCGCTTATATCGTTCTTGCAAGTTGGTGTATTTGATTTTGAAATAAGAAAGAAAGAGTGCACTACAACAGAATGTGAAAATATAACTTGTTTGTTTTAAAATAAATTTTTAGAAATAAATATGCCTTGTGGATTTATTATTAATTTCGAAGGGACAAAATGGTGACGAGGCTGCARACTCACATCCAAACCTTGTTTATTTAAACTTTTTACGAWAAATGCGTTTTTACGTAGRAAATAGKTTAGACTTGKAGCACCCCAAAAATCCTATACCTGCTATTGTGATTTCTAAATAGAATACCTCAAAAGAGTACGAGACATTAGCAAATAATTGGATTTCATTTCTGAACGAACTCAATCATGTTTTATTGACAAAAATTCACTTATTTATTTATTTTATTTTTTGAAAAAAGTCGCGGCATCATTCCATAGTCATTCCCATTTTTACCTGTTTTCATAGCGGCCTCAAAGCAGGTTAATCTTGGAGCCATAAAGAGCGATTGTTTCTTTGTTGGGAGCTAGAAGTTATCGTTTCGTCCTCCAGACGTAGCTATATTCTTATTTACTGCTAGAGGTCTGGATCCTGTGGCCAGAAAATGAATTACTCGATTCAGTTTTAGCGTAYGTCAACGTAAAGTCCATGATATATTGGTTATCCCAGCTGGCGGCCGGAAAAGTTTGCGAGGTTTATCCTTGTTGCATTAACGTACTGTAGCGGACATTTTCTTTTACCCCAGCCATCAAAATGACTACCAAGACCCGGAAATTTTTGTGCCCGCAATTTTTGTTGTTTCCACATCGAGCGAAGTAAGGAAGCGATCATATTTCATACTAAGAATAAAGAATAACGCAAATATACGACGTATCTTTATTCTTAATACTTTTTCTAAATCGTTATTAGTTCATATTTCATACAACAAGGAAAATATAAGTAAAAAAAATCGATAGTTGCAATTCMATATGTTCACTTGTACCCACAATGCAACTCGTCTAGATCAATTAATCTTGCTATCTGTCGCTATTTAAACGCATCGGGGTTTCTTGTACCGTCAAGCCGTGCGGGCACAGTCTAGAAACCTCAGACACAAATTCGTGATTCCCCTTACTTCAAGTCATTGAGTGCTTGCGTTTAATTTTAAAGCAATATTTATAATTGATTTCTGTATTTTAATGTTTCTGATGCTGGGATTTTAATGTTTGAATTTTTCGGSGAAAAACTTTCTATTGAAAGGAAAGCATGAGACAGGAGTGTAAATTGTTGGTGAAGGCGCTATGTGTGTGTGCCACCTACGCAAAATGACAAAAAGAGAGATAGAGAGAGTAAGGAGGTAGTTAGTTCTACAGCCCGCAACTGTTWAAGAGCAAAAATTGCACGATCAATCCTTTTGAGTCTTGGTAATTACTTAGAACATCAGACAACATTTACTAGACCGCGCTATAGTATATGAATATAGGCGGCGTCAAAAACCTGTCCAGACATGTGAACAGCCTCCAAAATCAGTGGTGGTTTGAAAAGGACGAAAAGTGCAGCCGGAAATTTTTATATCCAAAAAATGGCAGAATAGCAATGTCTGCTAACGKATTAAAAAGGCCTTGAATCGCATATTGTAATTGTCCACTTAGTTATAAGGGGCGTACACTTTAGGAGCAAGTTTGATTCAATCAGACGCTACCATGTGCTYGTCTATTCAACCGTGCTTCACCCGGAAAGGAATTGTTAAGYATTACACAACGCGCGATCGCTCGTACTACTATCCTCTGATAAATATCGCGGAATAAACTATGGCCAGCCTTTTTTGTATGCATCCTTACAATAATCTTACAACTTTTTTGCATCAGAAGGGGTATAGAATGGTGTCTCAGAAATCGCGAGGCTCGCTAAAAATTTCCCAAGGCTTACAAGCTAGGCGCTTAAAAGAAAGGAGCTCGGATTTAAAATCCCATTTGGCTGGGAATACTGCAATTGCCGAAATATTGGATGCGTTAAGCCAGAGGCTCGGGCTCGAATTTTAAAGCGAGGGACTGGTAGACTCTGGCGAGGATCGGATTTTACCATTCGATACCTCTATCAGACGTAGAAGTCGATGGAATTCTCAATGATTCGAGTCTGAAACACGCGAGCGCCTTTCGTACTCCATAGAACACAGTACAGATTTAATACAAAAAAACTAAGAAAATTGTCATTCTGTCATATTATATTGTCATATTCTGTCATATTTTACCAGGGTCATTGTCATATTTTTGTAGCGCGAGCAATGTTATCCATCATTTGCAGCGTCTAATAAAAAAAACCTCTTATGTCAAAAATTGTTTCATGAAATAYTATTTTTTGACGTTAGCTATATATGTTAGCTTGGTTCTATATAAAGCCGCACTTCGAGTGTGCATCTAGCTATAGGATGTACTATTAATTCCTTGGAAATGCCGTCATTTACAAGATCGAAGCTAAAAACAATATTAGATCCTCTTATGGAATTTTTTTTTTTAATCGAGCTTGGTCAAATAGTTTAACCAAGTCGTCGTTGACATTTGAATCATCTCCCCTCCTCCAAATAAAAAATCATTAGAGTTTTCCTCTTCAGCAAGGTCAAGACTTCTTCAACTCGAAAAAAAATCTCAACAGCCTATCAACCTTTAGAAAAAAACTAAGAAGAAAAACACTGGCTTTTTAGATCTTTTCGAAAGCACAATTTTAAATCATCTGTCAATTTGTGCATTGAAATTACATTGATTTGTTCAAAGAAAATGTTTTAGAAGGACGCTTGTTGGTTTTGGAAATATTTGTCAATATGAAGTAATTGTCGAAATGGCTAGCAGCTTGAAGTCTCTTAAGCATTACTTCATATCAACAATCGCTTTGAAAGCAGCCCATTCACCCTTGGAGCCCTCGTGTCGTAGTTTAAGATATTTCTCGTTACGTTTAAGTAAGCTTTTTATTCTCTTGCTTTCTGAAGTCAAGAAAGCGAGTAATCTACCGTTAGCTGATCTCTCAAGGGTTAACTTGTTCATGAAGTGGAAAATCGTCTGTATTTCGAAATTTTGAAAGAATGAAACATTTTTTCTCTCCTTAGGAAAATGTTTGGCAAAGTAACGCCTAAAATGTCTCAATTGACTCTCATTTTATTTGTCCTTATTTTGTTTAAGGTGATTTTGTTATTTTAATTGCTATTCCACCATGCATGGCTTCACGGTTTCACGGGTATGTAGAGATGTTARGGCGATAGCTTTACGAGAGCGATCAAACAAACCATGGCGAACAATTGACATAGATAATCTAAAAGCCGACAAAATTTTTCTCAGAAATCAAGATTTTCTGTTATTCAGAGAGTGAAAGGGGAAGGCTTTGTATAAACGAAAAACTAGCAATTTCCTTGTTAAAAAGGCTTSTTTTTTCGTAGAAAGAAACGCTGGACGCACTGTAGCTCATGACGTCATTATTTTGATCTTGATGGATTCTCCTGCTCTTAGGTCATGCAATCTTGTTTTACTGTTGTTCTRCAGAGCATTTCACTTCATGTCCGCCGCAAAAACTTCAACCTAATGTAGCCTCTTTCCAAAAAGACGATTATTTCCTGGATTTGTGTACTAAAAATGGTCGATGAAAATGTTGTCGCCAAGTTCATTCATCAAAGACATTTAGGATGTGTGGAATCTTCGCGCAGGGATTTTCCATGGGAGTTATAATCGATGGTGACTTTTGGAAAAAATTGGATCCATGTGGCTGAAAGATTRAAGWCCCCMTCTTGGGAAAAATAAACGGACAGATTTTGATACAACTATTTTTATCTTTTCACTGGTCTTTCTTACGCAAGGTAATTGTGATTAATGAGATTCAATTATCGCCATTGATTGGTAATTTTAGTCTCTTTTAGTCTTTTTTACACTTAGAGATTACTGTTGAGTTGTCTCATTAGCATTCATTCTCAATTTATTTATTGCTCATCAAACATCCTAATAAAAGACTTTTTCTTAGAAACTATTCTTAATATACATTAAAAATGGCTTTAACGTCTAGTGTAGAGAATCCTGTTTGCTTGTGGCCGCTACGGTTCACTCCACAATTTTCTCCGAAAAATATCTTCTAACTCCCTTTTTTGAAAACCATTTCTTTTTGCAGTTTTACAAAATGAAGCCAAGATTAACCAGGAAAAGTGCTCTCAGATTGGAATAGCTGAAAGCAATGTTACTCTTATGTATGGACTTGAAAATGCTAAAGTTGAGCGATTGATGATCGGTCATGTCCGAACACTGAGCGAATGTGTTCAACTCGCCTGCCGAAGAGAAAATGTTTCTTTAGCATATACATCAAGATTCGATTGTTACGGAGTTCGTTGTAATGACGATAAAGAAGCATGCTGGCTTTTACCGAGTTTTAAACATCCGACACTCGTATTTGCAAGAATTCACCGTGGAGCGGCGGTTGGAAATGATGCTAGCAAAAAAGGTAAGACCAATAGAAGTTGTAATTAACGTTTATTATATTTTTCATGTTTCGAATAATATAGGATCTTTTTACATTATTTTTTGTGGTTTTAATTAAGCTTTTTTGCACGATTGAGTTTTGGAGTTTTTACGCGCCGTTTACCTCCACACCTGCCGCGTTGCTAACTTGATGTTTTAAGTTTTAAAAGCCCTGAAAAAAGCCTAAACTCAAAGAACAAAAAGCTCAAAAATCTGAAAGATAGTGACATCTTACCTGAAGAGGCGTTTAACTTACTAAGTTAAAAAGCACAATTAAAAGTTTTTTTATATATTTAGAAGTTACTTATAGCGTAGGCATTCACTAAAAGGTTTTTTAATGTCCCGGAGCTGTAGACGAGATTGCCCGGATTTAGTTCGCCATCTATAGTGGATATTGTATGAATTATGTTGTAAATTACGGATTTACGGAATCGGGAAAAAAATCTATATATATTTTGCAAAACACATTCAACTATTTATAAATTCAGCTGTCAAAATATCAACAGCTCAGTGGACGTCAGTGAACTTGATTTGAACTTTGAAATATTTCAAGAGTCAAAAATACAAATTATGCAATTAAAATAGTTAGTTTAACCTTAACCCAGATAAACAGCTAACTCTGATATTTGCAAGCAATGATCTAATTCATATTCCCAGGTTCAACTACATAAAACAGTAGAATTATGACCCTAAACCAAGTACTGCTGGTACAACTCACGGTTGATTAGCACTTGCAAAACAACAAATGACAAAAATTATTGCACGGTCTCAATAAGTCGTTTTCTTCTGTCCATTTTTAAAAGTCTTCGTTACATGCACACTTCAAAAACATGAGTCATGTCAACTCATGAATTCCCGTGTGCTAACTAATTCCCGTCTTAATAAAAGTTTTTGCTAATTTGATTTTTCCCAGTGCGCATTTTTGTCTAAATGACAGAGATATGAAGTTAAAGCAATTTTTTAAAATTTAAATGCTGAATAGCCGACTTTTYTTAGACTTCTTTATTTATTGCTAGTCTTTTGAAGAATTTCTTTTTCTATAGTTTTTTGAATGTGAAGCTTAATGATAAGGCACGCCAAGTATGTGGAAAGTCCAAAAGGGAACCCTTATATATTGTACAAAATGAACAAGAAGTGGATATACTATCTGTTTAATTTACCAAAATACCATTTTTTCCATTCTTTCATAGTGCAGGATAGGGGCGTTCAGCTGCAAAGATATTTTATGAGCAAGAATACTAATGAGGCAAATATAATTGCGTTAATACGCTCGGCGGACTTTCTTTGTGAACGAATTTRAAAATAAGCTAATTTAATAAATCGCTCTGTGAACATATATGAGTAACACCTTTGTAAGTTTAAAATTACGTGTAAGTTATTAAGTAGAAATTCGAGAAGATTTCGTTACAAGTACAAATTGATTTGTCTTATGGTTTGATGGTTTTTTTTAATCTTTGTCTGCATGTCGATTCTATTTTTTTATGATCTAATGATCATATGTCGACTAAAGTTGATTCTTTTTGTCAATTTTTTTCAAATAACGTAAATAATACGAAAAGGATTACGAGAAGATTTATCATTTTTTACTACATGTATATTTCGGCCTTTATCCAAAGGCCATCGACTGCATGTAGTAAAAAATGATAAATCTTCTCGTAATCCTTTTCGTATTCAAACTATATGCCCAAAAGAATATATTAACGTAAATAATATTTTTCTCTTRCTCTGTTAGCAGAACATTCAAGTCCACTCTCTCATGAATTAAAAGCAGAGAGAAAAATATCGCCGAATGCTCATACGGGTGAGACAGGGGATGAAAGTAAAGACTTTAAAGTAAAAACTCGCGAAAGGCGTTCCAATGAAAAGTCTTTGATAGACTTTTTGAGTCAACGTAGTGTAAAACCAGATAGAACTACTCCAGAACCTRCAATATTATCACGGGGTAAGCGTTTTAATGAACTTGAATATGAATGGAAACGCCGGCGGAAATCTGGATTTCTACTTAAAAGAGACAATAAAGATGTTAATGTCATCTCAAGAACTCGACAGTTTAAGAATTCTGATAATAAAATCTTAGAAAGATTCAAGAGAGATGTCGATGAGGATGACGGCTTTGATGACCCTGGACCAGATATTCCAGGTGCAGATGTAAAAACAAATGGGCATTATAGAGCGCTGCAACGCTTCAAACGTGAATTTGACGAAAATGTCGATGGTGATGAGCCCAAAGACAACCAAGSAAAAGAGCCAGAAGTTCGGCGATTCAAGCGCAAACTTGAGGATGAGGATGAGGATTCCTCACCCGATGGGTTGTTAAGCACAATTCTGCAAACCCGCCATTCTAGTCCAAGCGACGAAAGCGCGCAAGAGCGCAGTGAAAAAGAACAGGATAATTCGCTGCGGCGATTTAAGAGAAAAGCGTTAGAGCTTGATAGGATGAAAGAAATCGGAGAAGGCAGACAGTCAAATCAAGAAGAAAGTGTTGAAAAAATGAAGACGAGTTTTGTTCCTCAATCAACTTCACAATCCACCACTGTATCTTCAACTGTTATAATTTCACAACAACCGTCGGGTCAGAGTTCAACAACAACAACTTCATCTACAACCTCAACTTCAACTATGGGAAAGTCTCAGAAGACTTTAGACAAAGAAAGTCATTCCAATGCAATATCCCCAAAGTCTATTTTGCGCAATGATAAAGACAGTGTTGAAACGAAGGAAAAGGGATTATTAGAGAAAACAAAACCAGCTTACTCTCCTCAAGACAATGAATCATCGACTTCAAGTGTGACTGTAGACATTCCAGTACGACTGCCTCTCCCACGTCTTCCTCAACCACAAACGTCMACTTCATCATCTCCCTCATCATCGACTTCAACTGTGTCTGTAGAAATCCCTGTACGACTGCCTCCCCCATCGCAGTCTCAACCACAAATAACAACGTCTACATCAACTTCTCCATCGAAAAGGAAAGCAAAGTCCGATTTAACTTCTTGGCCTAAAGAAAAGTTTAGCTCGATTCCTCAATCGTCTTCGCAGTCCACAACAATGTCTTCAACTATATTAATTTCACAACAACCGTCCGGTCAGACATCAACATCTACATCTACATCCACAACCTCAAGTTCGACTTCAACAATGGGCAAATCTCAACAGTCCAAAGTCAATTCAAATATCAAGAAATCATCTGCTCTTCCACAAGAGGCAACATCAACGTCCACCTCTACAGCTACTGCAGTAATTAGACCGCCGCCGCCGCCACCACCTCCTCCCCCACCATCTTCATCATCGAGCTCCTCCTCTACTTCAACTGCAACAGCCATCGTTTCGG